AATCCTAACTCTCATCACATGTTTTTCAAAAATACCCAACAAATCAAGTTTTTAATGCAATAAAAATTACCACATGTCTATCTATAACGAGGAATTGAAAAGGAGCAAAAAAATCCCTACCTCAAAGAGAGATGAGGAGAAAACTCTAAAAATCAACTTTGCCGGAATTTGATCTCCACCGGTCAAAACGTAGCTCTTGAGACGCTAGCCATTTTTGTATTAAAATCTCGTTTGATCTTTATAAATCGAAGAAAATGTGAAATTTGGTGAGAGTTTAGAGAGAAGGGAGAGAAGAGAAGTTACAGAGAGAGAGAGTGATGAGAAATGGTCAAAAAGAGAGAGAATGATCTTATTTGAGTGAAAAGGGAACATAAATCAATATCTGGACGCGCAAAATCCACTCATGCGGATCAACTTAGGGAAAAAAAGGCTTTCTCGCGAAATCCGCTCGTGCGGATTTGACCAGACAGCTTTTGCTGGATGACTTGAAACAGGTGCATCTCCCATGTCCGGAAATGGAATATGGTCAATTTTGTGTCTAAATTGAAGCCCCAGAAATAAGCTTTCCAATGGTTCTAACCTCACATCAAGATTCAAAATGTGGAGAAAGAAAAAGGCAAAAGAGTAAACACTACTCAAAATAAAAAAAATTCGAATTGGGCATTCTTGGTCTAATCTTACCCAACGAGCATGTTAACTCATCAATCAAGACTCCAAACAATGAGGAGAAGGTCTCAATTATAATAACTATAAGGTTAAATGCAACCCACAACTACTCAATAGTCGAAAAAAAATAAAAAATTGTAAGTATAAGGTAACGGTTACCACTTAACATAAAGAAGTCGGGTCTAAGACCTGAGACACTACAACATTCTACAAAAAAAAAAAAAAATGTTACAAAAATTATATAATTATTTTAAATTATTTTAGTCAATGTTCTTAATACACTCGTTAATAAAACTTATTTTAGGAAGCCTAGGTGGTAATGGGTTGGCTCACATGTCCAACTCAAATTTGACTTGCCCCTCTCGTTTGTCCAGATTGTATGATTAATTTACACTCTTAGAATGAGGAACCAAGAACACAATTCCAAATTTATTTTTAAAAAAATGAGCCTTTACCTCATATATCTATTAAAACCATTTTGGTAGGCAAAGGCAATAATATCTGCTTGAATTCTATATGAAAACATATATATCCACTACCGGTGGTGGTTTCTGTCCTATCTGAAATTGGACTGGAGCATATTGTTGGGATTCTGTGAACTAACCACAGAGCCCACGTCCACAGAAACCCACATCGATGATCTGAATCGTCAAAATGTAGAGCTCGTCGAGTACTTTATCTTTGTAAAAAATTACATTGATCGGATATCGATAGTTACTTGATTAGATCAAATTTGTATCAACGGTAATTATGACTTGAAAAATAAATTGTTCATACAAATGTAATTTGATCAAGTGGCTACTAATATCCGATCAATGTAATTTTTTACAGAGATAAAATACTCGACGATTCTTACATATTAAATAATTTGGATTATTGAGACCTAATAATAGGCCCACAATGGGTCGGATTGGACCGTCTAGTTGAACTAGCCAACTGGAGATAATCCAACCCCTCTACTAACATAATTTCTAAAAGAAAAATAATATACAGGCTCATTTTTAGACCTATTTTATAGATCCAATAATGTGTAAGAAAGATAATTAGTTGATAATTAAAAAAGATATAACAGAAAAAGTTGCCTTAAATATTTTAATTAATTGCCACATTATTAGATGTAGAACGTGAGTTTAATTTTTTAGTTTGTATAACACACTATAATTCTCACTTGAGTACATAATTATAAGTTGTTATAAATTGTTAACCCTCTGTTCTTGCAAGTGTATTCTTGTATAATGATAGATTTCATTCTAACAATCATTTAAATAATTTATTTATTAAATGATAACATATTATTGTTAGAACAATTTTCTGTATAAAATAAATAACTTGAAACTAAATCAAGCAAATAAAAATAAATTACTTACAGAATTTATTTACCTATGTGAATACATACAAAAATGATCAAGTCGAGTGTGTGACACTTTGCCCTTAAGACAGATTCGCCCCGCTTCGGTGCTTACGGATAAATGACGTCTATCTCCCAAGATACAATGATCTACACAGATTGTAGTAGCACTCCAAACAATCTATATGGCGAACTAGAACCTATGTTCTATACTCTCTGAATTTTCTCTAAATAACTAAGATGAAGAATAATGCAAACAGAGCAAAAACGAGAAGGGAACAGATTTTTCTGGATGTTTCAGGACGTGAAAATCTGTTGGAAATGAATATGAATTTATAGGCAAACTGGTGGTTGTTAGACAGATCCGAACAAGTAGGTTTTTGAATTGAACAGGTGCAAACAACCTGAACAAATATGGAATTTAAACTGAACAGATGCAAAACTGTTTGAACCCAGTTTTGAATCTGTCTGGAAAATCGAATTTGTTTGGTGCAATTGTAACCTGTTTGAACCTATTGGACTGCTGGAAATTGGAATAGAGAAGGGCTCTGTTTGGACAAAAAAAATTAGCCCAAAATTTAAATTAATTTTGTTAAGAAATTCAAATAATTTTCCTATAAGAATTTGAAAAAATTCAAATAAATTTTGTCCAAAAAATTAAAGTTAGGACCCAACCTACAATCTACACCTCACACCCGAAGTCAGCTCAGCCGGATGGCTGGCGACGTGCGTGTGGTGGTTTGAGCCAAGGCTCACTTTGTCCATAACTCCTCCCTTCTACAAACTTGGAATGCCCCCTTGGGGTCCAACCCAAGTTTGTCCACTTAGAGTTTACATACTCACAAAAACTCTTTTCAAGTTTCAATATGGGACAACCATTTCAAAGAAACCCACATTTAACTCTTTAATTGTCCATTTCACGAATCCGAAAACGACGTCAACTTCTTATTCACTCATAAATGGTTTTGACGAACTGTCTTCACCGTGTAACTTGCCATGCGGTAAGGAACACGTTACCTCTTTGGACCCACCTCAAAAGACATGTGGACCCCACTCAAATTTGGGCTTAAAGTTGACACAAATTAAGCCTATAAAAAATCATAATTCTAACAATTACTTGATATTTGATCAAGTTGTGATCATATTATGAATGACGACAACATTTATAAAAAATATAGTTCCAAACCGAATTGTTATACATTTTGATGGTTCTATTTGGATTGCTTTCCCAAGTTTTTCATAGTTCAATTTGGTTTCAAATTTCATAAAATTGTAGATCTTTACTCACAAATCAAACCATGCCCACTTCTAACCCGCCCCATCCTCTCCCCCTCCCAAAATGAAGTTCTGTTGTGACAAATCCCCAATCGAAGTGCATGTGTTTCCTGCAATTCCAGCTTGTTTGGTTTCATAACTCATGATTTACTTTTTAAAAAATTAAAATTTTTTATTTTTCGTATTTTTTTTGTTTTTACTAATTTTTTGTAATATTTTAAGTAAATTTTTTTAATTTTTAAATACACCGAACATAAATACACTTAAAAAGTATAATATTTGTGAAAAAAACTTTAAAAAATTCATTAAATATCAAAAATACAAAAAAAAAATGAAAATTCAGTACATTTTTTGTATTCTTGTGTATTTATTATTTTTTTAAATATTTTTTTTACAAATATTTTAATTTTTAGATACATCTAAATAAGATGCATCTAAAAAAGTAAAAAAATTACTTAAAATTTTAAAAATATTCACTAGAAAATAAAATATGAAAAACAAAAAACTTAATTTCTAGGAAATTGAATTCAGAAAATTGAAACCAAACACACTATTGGACCTGTGGAAGCCCACCACGGGTCCTGTTTCAATGATCCGAACCGTTCAATGCGTATACTTCGTCCAGTATTCGTGCAAAAAATTGCCTTAATTGGATATCATAACCACTTAATCAAATCATATTTTTGTCAACGGTAAATATGATTTTCAAAATAAATTATTAGCAGAAATCTGATCCGATCAAGTAGCTATTAATATCTGATCAACATAATTTTTTATAGATACAAAAATACTCGATAAATTCTACACATTAACGATTCGAATTATTAAAACAAAATGCACGTTGAATCCCATAAACCAAATAGCACGGTTCAGTTCACTATGTGAACTAGTGAGAATTATTCCCCCCCTTTTTATTTATTATTATTACCACCTTTACTAAATGGAATGCGTGTTCAAGAACAGGAACTAAAAAGTACTCGGAGATAACACAAGTAAATTGAGTCCCCCCCGCCCTTTTTATTTATTATTATTACTACCTTTACTAAATGGAATGTGTGTTCAAGAACAGGAACTAAAAAGTACTCGGAGATAACACAAGTAAATTGAGTATACTTGTCTGGAGGTGTTGAGATTTGGCCCAATAGCCTAATAGTTACACCTTAGAATATGGTAAGAAAGGTCAGGATCTGAGTTTATAAAATAGCAACAAATCCTTCCAATTATAATCTAACTATACTAACATACTACCGCTATCTTTGTTGAAAAAATAAAAATTGAGTCTACTTTTGCATTCTAGTTCAACATGACAAATAAACCTGAGGTACAAACCAACCAAATTATCTCCAGGCAACACAAGAAGTTTCAGTAGATCAGTTACCTAAATAACCACATAACATGTCCAAGTTCATCCCTGTTTTTATAGGCTAAAGGGTAAAAGTAATAATATATTGCTCATTCATCATGCCATTCATTCACTCATACACCTTCATTTCATTGCTTTCTAGCAAAAGCATCAGCTATTTTCAACATGAAAATAATAAATAAATAAAATAATTAAAAATTAAAAATAACATAAAATAATCCATGAGAGTCTACAGGGTCTCTTGCAGTAGCTATACTTAAAAAATGAAACGAGCAGAAAAAAAAAATGAACGAATAGATCACCTTGCCAAACCAAACAGAGCCATCCATCAGTAAGAACAGAGTTAAAGATACAACAAATTTAACATATAAATCCACGCTCAAACTTTTTTTTATTGGGTGAATAACACGCTCGAACCTATCAAGTTCAAAACCCAGAATGTTCAGATCTTCTGGTCTACATCGGAAGTCCATCTAACAATCTCTACACAACAAAGTTTTGCAACAACAAATGTCATGATGCCATTGACACTTACAATTTAGAATACAAATACAGTGTGACAGTCACAACACATCTCTATTTCCTTTATAATCAGTGCGACCACTTAAAATCCAAGTCAGAAGTCCTTTTTCAATAATGCAAAGCAGATACCAGTCTCAAACACACAAAAATTATCAGGATAAATATCCGTACAATGGTCAACAGGTCAGCGTTTCTCTTCCACTAACAACTATCACCATAATTTGAAAGCCTAACCTTCAAAAAATGCCGCTCAAAGAATAAGAGGCAAGATAGAAACAACATCCCAGTTTGCTCTTTCATCGCTTCCATCTGTATATTCCACAAAAGATATTTTTTGTAGATCCTAAACCTTAGATCGCCTAAACTCAAACCAAATCTCATAGTGATTGAAGAGTAAACTATCATGCGTGTGCTTCCCAATATATTCAATCCCTAGTCTGTTTAATCTCTTTGTACACTCATCTCCACCCAAGCGTGAGCAGAATTTTATGTTGTGCGACACAAAGATTCGACCTTCATGAGGTTTTAGTTTCTTTGCTAATCTCTCCAATCCAACCCAAACAAGGTTATCAGGCATGTGAAGGAAAACAGCACTAGCGTAGATCAAATCATACATTCCAGAACCAAACTTACTGAAATCCATATCTTCACCTTTCACAATCAGAGGGCGCTTTTGCAATAATCCTTGGGATGGAAGTTCATACCTAAGCGCAGACATTAAAGAAAGCTCATCTCTTTCAAGACAATGGAAGTTTCCTGGATTCAGGTACCGTATGAAATGCTGGCCTACACGAAGTGTCCCACATCCAATTTCAAGAACACGAGCATCTGGGGCAAGGTGAACAGACTCTGCAAGGAATTCAAACACATCTCGCCCTCCAGCCCAGGGTTCCCCATAGTTGCTGTGATGCTCTTCTACGAGGAGCTCACCAGGACAAGGTAGAGCTGTGTGGTTGTTTGATTCATCTCCTTCATAGTGTGATATGCCCTTGAATCTGAAAGTTTTTGGAAAAGCTTAATCACATTACTGATTTCCAAATAAAAGAAACATAGTTGATGTGATTAGAGCATCTCCAATCTTTACATTTCTTTTTCCATCAAATTTGAGTTGAAAATTTGGTTAAAAGCTTTGATCTGATATGAAACACTCCAATTCTTACTCTCATTTCTCCATCAAATCTTTTGCGAATTTACAAACTTATCCTAAAAACTTATTTTACCCATTTTTTATCAAAGAAAACCATATCCAATCCTTACTCTTTCTAAAATCTCATCAAATTTGAGTAAAATATGATTGTTGGGAATTTGATGAATTCGAGTAAAGGAATCGTTTTATCTTCGATTTTGTGAAAAAATTGCCTCTTCCTTGATTTGATACAGATTTGATAAATGGTTTTATTTTATTTTATTTTTATCAGGATTTGATAAAATGGTTGAAGAGCACACTTTTAGCCATTTTTTTCCCATCAAATTAGAATTAGGTGAAAATATTGATGATGGTTTGGAGATGTTTTATAAGTCCATAACTTGTCAATCTTGAACCAGAACAGGGCACACATTCACATATATTCACAAGTATGTATGTAAAATTTTCAAAAAAAAACTGGAAAAGTTAATGCGATTAGATTCAGTGTTTGATTAAGAAACACAAATAGAAGTCCAAAACGTCGAAATTAGAATGTAGACCAAATCAGAATCCGAAACCTAAAATCTATAGGACATAATATAACATATCCCTAAAAATCCAAAACCTAAATTCACCATTTCTTTTTCAATGAAGAGCATGAGAAATATAGATTTCCAAAAATCCAACACATACATAGACAGATGGAAAGAGAGAGAGAAAGAGAGGTTACTGACTGAATGAGATCTTGGAGCTGTTGAGCGCGAGAGCGAGGGTTAATGCCCTTACGGAGGACATTGTCGTGCATATGAAGTCCGTTGGCCTCGATCTGATCCTTCACCCATCTTATATCCTCCGCCGTCGGCGAGATCCTCTCTCCTCCAGATGCGGCGGCTCCGGCGGTGGCTAAGGCCTCCGGAGAGGGGCAAGAACAAGAAGAAGGAGGAGAAGAAGAGAGAGAGGACAAGAGGACGAAGAAGAAGGTCGCGGCCGCAGCAGCAGCAGCCGAGAGCACCAGAACAGGCACCGGCACCACCACGCTCTTCGACGCCGCCGATGACCACATTAGACACAGAACTAGCACTGTATTTCGCCGATCACACCACCACAGAAAGAGATTGGTTGATTGATGTTGGCACAAGTTTTTTTTGGATTAAATTAATCGCGAGACACGAGTATTGCTGCGAATGTTGTCGTTTTTCTTTTTTTTTTTTGGGCAAATGACAAAATAAAAAAAATGGCCGGTCGGTCGGTTTATTTGGTGTACGTAAGTTCCTGTCTGAAAGAAAAACCGGACGGATCAGTATCATTTGATCGGTACGGGCAAATTTATTAAACAACAAGGCTACATATCATTAAATTTTTACCATTAACATTACCATTAATGATGTGACAAGTAAAAATAAATAAATAAATAAAATTAAGACACAAAACACATGTAGCAGTAGATGGGACCCACTACCACATCCTTAGTACAATCACTAATTAATGATCTGTATCATTTTTTTTTATTAAAATAACAAGGGTCAATTATAATTTCAACCCTATATTTTATTTATTTATTTTTTTTTTTTTAATCACTATAAAAAAGATTCCCTCATTTCAAATTATGGGATGTTTTGAAAAGTAAATAAAATGTTAGTTTTTAACTTTTTACTTATTTTAGGTTACATTAAGTTTTTTATTTATAAAAAGATAAAATATATTAAAAAAGTTAAAAAATTAATTTTTTACCAACTTCTCAAAACACCGCTCCGAACTATTAAACTATTTTTGCATTGGTCCAAAAATCTATTAGTTTAGGGGTAATGCTATTTGTGTCGGTTCAAGCCAAGTCACTAATATATGATAAAAGTATATGTATTATTTTAAATTTAATCTAATATCAGGTTTAATTTAATTATTTTAAATTTGACTTTAACACTTTGTTTAGTTAGGAGATTTGGAAAGAAATTTGAAAAAAAAAATGAAAAAAAAACTTAACCAAATACAACATAAAAAAATCTTTAAATCTTAAACTTGTCCACTTAATTCAATAGATATAAATTATTAGTTTATTTATTTTTTATCGTAAAGGGCTATTAAATTAATTAAATCCTTTTTACAATTATTTAAATTTAAAATATTAATTATAAAATAAATATAATCTTTGAAGAAGTGATTTATTTTAAGTTATAGTAGTTTAAGTCATAGAAAGAAATATATATGTATTTTTTTACCTTTTATTATTTTTTAAATTTATTTTGTAACTAAATAATATAAAAATAAAATTAATATTTTCTAAAAGAATAGGCTGGGTTGGAGTGGGATTAAAGTCTTTATCTGAAGCTCAATTCGAAAATTAAATAGAGTCAAAATTTTGTCCAACCCGACCCATGAGCTAAATATTTTTTTCCCAATCTCTAGAAATATCGGCTGGGTTGGGTAGGCCATTGGGCTGATGGCCACCCTTACCATGCATCATATGCAATAATTTAATTTTATAAGAGTCATAACTTTGAAAAAAAAAAATACAACCAAACACCGCTTAAGGTATAAATAAAGAATTCTTTGATCATAATTAAAATAATATCATAACTAATATCACAATAAATCATAAATCATAACACTACAACAAACCATAACCAAATATCTCAAAAATCATAGTCAAATGCACATATAGTACACATCCCATAGAATTCTCCTCAGTTTAGACTCTTTTCACATTTGTACAAATTTAATGGGAATTATTACATCCTAGTGATGTCCAAAAAATAAAATAAAATACAAATTTATAGAAAAAATTTATAAATTTAATTATTAATCTACTACTATTATAAAAGTATGAAGAACTTACCATATTTTCTACTTTAGAAAAATCTTAATTTTACCCTTTCAAATCTACTAAATTTTCTACAAGTTATGAAGAATCCTATATAAACTAATTGTTCCCTTCTTATTTTCCTGTTTTTGCTTCTATATTGATATACATAATATTTACAATACAAATCATTGTGAATAATTTTGGTTGAATTTTAAAATTGTATGTATTCGTTTGAATCTAGATAGAGAAAAGTGCATACGTTTTTAAAATATAGATTTGTGTTGCATTTAAAAATTCGTAGGTTATCTTCATACATTTTCTTTTTATTTAAATTATATTTTATGAATTATAATATTTACATGGCACTTTAATAACTGAGAGGGTAATTTGTATGAATAAAGTGGGCCGAGATTGGATGATGGGCCGCTTTGGGCCGTAGTAAGAAAGGCGGAGTAGAATGGTTTTGTCCATTAGCTCGGTCCAAGAAGGCCTTGTTGTTATCTCTGTCGCCACGGCCAAATTTCTGAGTTCGGTCATGGCATGCAAAGCCGAGGTGGACGTGAGGATGTACACTGAGCCCTCTTCAGGATTTGGTTTTGGGTTAGTTCGGCGTAGGTTCTTCACTGGATAGTTCGGTTTTGGCATTTGGAACCGAGGTAGGGGAAAAGAGAAGAATAGCCGAACTAATAGTTAGATCGGTTACGCCAGTCAGTCTAGCATGGCAATGTTATTTCGGTTGTATGGTAGCCCGGCCATGGTATAACCATCTCACTTGGTTTAAGCAGTGAGGGGGGTGTTGAAGGATAAGCATTATTGTTCAGGAGTATGAATCCTAGGAGGATTCTACATGGAGGAGTAAGAGTCCTACTTGGATTGTGCCACACGGAACCTATAAAAGCTCACAAACATCACCTTTGGAGAGGTAACACAACTTTGTTTTCTGAATACACAGAGTTTTTGTCTATTTGTCAAGCTTACTGACTCAGGCATCGGAGAGGTTTCCGGCACACACCCGCCGGCTAGCTTACGTTTGTATTTTCAGGTGATAAAGCGACGACGTACGAAGGAGCGCAGACTTGATCAACAGGATTACACGAGAAGGTTTATTTCTTTCCCGTACAATTGGCGCCGTCTGTGGAAAAGACAGACAGGACAAAACCTCTTGATCAAGCTTTACCTCTTTAGGAACAATGGCGCACAATGAAGATTTACCGCAGTCCGCCATCGACGGGCAAACACCAGATGAGGGTGCCAAGCGTGAAGGATTACCTTCTATCCCTCCCATGGCGGACTTGGAGCCCCAACAACATAACCCCAAGAGGGATACTAGGGGGAGGCGAATTAACAGCTCCCGTCACTCTCGTTCACAAAGTCCTGACAGGCAAAGGCGGAGGATTGATCCTCAAGTTCTGGAGGATCGCGTGAAAGAGCAAGACGAATTAATAAGGAACATGGCGGCGGACATGGAGGCCTTAAAACGCCAGATGAAGGGAAAGGGAGTGGCAATAGGAGAGGGGCGCAAAAACAAGACGCCCCCTCGCTGCTTAGAAGACTGTGGAAGGCATTCCACACCCTCACTAGCAGAGAGTAAAAGCCTCAGGACAGGCGATACTCAGTCTAGAACCACTAGAACTCGTTACTCCAGGTCTGAGAGAACGAGATCATTGAGGTCTTATACTGAAGGAAGTACCTATCAAACCTCGCACTCGTACCAAACATCATCCAAGCAGACGGAGTTGCCAAGATCATCCGATTTGCGGATCATGCTAGAAGAAAAGGCACGATGGAAGGAGGATATTAGGGCACGCAACCCTCACAGGGTATCTGCTCTTCAGCGGTTGGCTCCTCGGACGCATGGAAGCGTCGAGGTCAGAATGCCGTTACCACGTCCTGCCTACGAACCGACGGACAAAGCATTAGCAAGGCTGCAGACTTCGCCGTTCGTTCCGGCAATCGAAAACGCGTCCCTTCCTTCAGGATTCCTTCAACCCAAATTCACCACGTACGAAGGGAAGACGGGCCCCTACATACACCTAAGCCACTTTCGCCAGGTTATGGCGGTATATCGGCGAAACGAGGCTTTGATGTACATCCTCTTCCCATCAAGCCTTGGTGACCTAGGCTTGACTTGGTACATGTTGATATAGAGCATAATTCATGCATGCATGTTTGTAATGTAGAAGTTTGAGTTGAATTCATGGCAAAAAGGTTACATGCATGTTCATAATTATGTTAAGTCCATAGTCTCACCATGTTTTGAAAAGGATTGGCTCCTTAGAGCATCAATTTGGAGCTTCAAAATGATTTGAATTCATGTATGTTTGCATGTTCTTCATATTCTTGAAAAATGGTTTGAAATTGAGTTTGAATTAAACACCCTTGGGCTTGATTTCTCAAATTGAGCTTTGAACCATGTTATTCTATGTGTTTATGAATGTTTTCCAGAAAATGGGCCCAAGAGGATTGGTTTTGATGCATTTGAATGTGAGTTTGAGCTTGGAGGTGCAATCTGGAATTCCCAGATTTTGCACTTCCGCTCGAGCGGGGAAATTGGCGCTCGAGCGTGGAATCCGAGCATCCAGCATCTTGCACTGTTTTACAGTTCGCTCGAGCGGAGGATTGGGCTCTCGAGCGGAATCTTGTGTCTCAAGCTCGAGCGGGCGTCGAGCGTCAGTCGAGCGTCAGTCGAGCGGAGATTTCACCCATCCAGCACTTTTGACTGTTTTTGCAGAACGCTCGAGCGGGTGATTCTACGCTCGAGCGGGTACCTTTGTCTGCATGTCCGCTCGAGCGGAGTGACTTACGCTCGAGCGTGACCCCTGTTTTCTGAAAAATTCTGAAACTGCTTCTTGAGTACATCTTTGCATCATCATCTCATTCTAGGCATTCTTCGACCTAGTTTAAGACATTTTATGAGGACTAGATGTAGAACACACCGAGGCTAATTAGGGATTAAGTTATTATCCTTCCCAGCTGTGTAGCTTAGTGTGTTCAATCTGTTAACTGTGTAGGGTTAGCGACTGGGGAGACACGCTCTAGCTTACTGTATCCCAAACGCTGTAAGTAACAATTGTGTAAAGATATGTTCAAATGATCATCTTCTGAATACTGAACTGAACAGTTTACTGAGCTGATATTGTTTACTGAATGAATGTATGTCCTATATTCTAAACTGTACTGTGGCATCCTTGGCAATTACTGTTACTGTTACTGTTACAGAGATCTATGTCGGTTCCCTCGTGGAACCACTACTGTTTACTGATTGATGGCCATCATTACTGTTCGGTCTTTAAGACCTACTGTTTACTGCTATGCTAATGGATGTACCACATATGACTGAATAACTGTTCTGACTGAAAGACTGAAGTATTGTTTAATGAACTGATTTCATTACTGTAGGGAC